TTTTCATGAAATTGTTTAATCTTGTGAAATTATTTCATATAATACTTTTTTTTTGATAAAATTGTTTTATATATGATTATGAAATTGTTTCATACAATATTTAATAGAATTTTAATGAAATTGTTTCATGTATTTCTCTAAAATTATAATAATGAAAATTAATAATATCCATGATTAACACCCTCCACAATAAAAATGATTAATCAACCTCTTATAATTACAAAAAAAAAAGTTATGATTGGTTGAATGAGGTTTGTATGTTTTATACAAATAATGTGGTTTGCAAAGTAAACCTTATATATATATATATATATATATATATATATATATATATGAGTTCCTTTATTTATTTGATGGTCTTTGGATGAGTTAAGAAAGAAAGTTGATGAAAAGTTCTTTTGTAGTTATCTTGGGTTCAAACAAACAGAGAGACAAAGAAGAATCTGCCTTCATGATTATTATCTGATAATCGTTGTTATTTTAAAGACTTCATCTCTTTATGATTAAAAGGTGAATTATTTTTAAAAACATCATTTTATTTGTTTTTGGTGAAGAAACCGTATGATTTCATACTTGGGATTTTGAATATGTTATATGCTATTTGTAGCATAATTTAGTGTTTTGATATGTTATTATCAACTGGTTAGAATAAATGTGACATAATCAAGAAATGTGTATTTTGGGATAAGGGTGACATAATCAAAAGAGACATATATTGGGATAAGGGTGGAATAAGCAGGAGAAATTTATACTGAGATAAGGGTGAAAAAATCAATTGTATGTAAAAACGGGATTTTGATCATGTGGAAACTATTATCACATCTTCATGATGTGACGAGTTTGGTTTATCGCATCATTGGTTTTATCGCATCATTATGATGGAGCAAAATGTTTATCGCATCCTTATGATGCAACAAAGTAGGGGTTATCGCATTACTGTGATGCGACAAAATTAAGTAATCGCATCAATATGATGCGAGAAAGCGTATTATCGCATCTATATGATGCGCCAAGTTGATGAGTATGATGCGATAAAAATGTGATCGCATCAATGGGATGCGACGAATTGGTTTGTTTTATGTTTGTTGCGATAACTATTGTACTTCATTAATGGATTTGATGCGATAAGATGATGTTGTATCATCTATATCATGCGACAAAGAGGTTTGTTTCAACAAAACATTGTTTAATTGTTATTAATACAAATATGAACTCCTAAAAATGTTTAGGTGATTTTCAGACAATCAAAAGAGATTTCTGACTAGAACTTATGCTCTAACCCTCTTTTTGTTTTAAAAATATGCATTATGGGTCGGACACATACGGAGAGTAATGGGAAGAGAAAAATATGAAGAAGTTATGATTGCTATTAATATGTGAATTTTGGGAAGTTGTTGTTATGCATGTATTTGAGAACTTGTTATATCTGCAATCATGTACTTGGTGTAAATAAAAAATTTGTAGCTACTTTTGTATGTAACATTTTGTATATATTGGAACCAGTGTGTATATTTATATTTCATGTTAAATGGAATATGTGATTTTATGCAAATATGGACTTAAGATGTTACATTTTCCCTTATTTAAATTCAATACAAATAGTTTCTATAAAACCACTTGTACTCATTCATCAAAATAATTAATTAATAATAAATATTAATTTTTGGATTACACTATTTTAAGTTTTTTAAAATAATTACGTGAAGACTCTATTACTAATGTGTATATTTACTTTAATAATATATATATATAGAGGTTGGTTCAAATAGTAACCCATTTTTTTGTGCTAACTATGCTAACTAACATCAACCAATCATGTTCCATCTTTTAGTTAGGTTCAAATGTAATTCACATATTAAGTGTAAGGATATTTAAGTAATTTGTCATTTTTATGTAACTCCCCAATATTTTAATTGGGAGTTACAAATCTTAAAATATCACTAATTGATCTTCATGTAATAATGACATGAAGTTTAACATTTGTTCATCTTACTGATTTTTACATTTCATTCTTCCTACAATAGTTTTGATATTGTAAATTTCAAAAAAGTTCCTTTTGTAAAGATTCTGTTATATTCCGAGTAATATGGATAATTATAGAGTAAAACAGATCGACGACAATGAGAATGAAAAAGCTAAAAACGTCTATGAATACATTCGGAATTCGAATTCCGAAAGTGAAGAAAATGATAAAACCGTTCACACGCATGTTCACTCAAACGTCGACATATGTGTTCACTCATGCACATATGTGTTTAATTGGTTCACACAATATGTCCATTTGGTTCACACACATGTTTCAATCGTTCATTAGGTTCACATATTATTTTGATGAAGATTATGAACCTAATTTTTCAATTGTTCATTAGGTTCACACATGGTTCATTAGGTTCACACACGGTTCATTAGGTTCACACACATGTTTCAATCTTATCTGGATGCCGTCGCCTGGTAATCCTTCCAAATCCTCCATTGTTTTGATGAAGATTATGAACCTAATTTTTAGCTATTGATTTAATATATTGATCGATGAGATTGACGGTTTCTTTATTGATTGGAAGTTACAGAATAGGCTGACAAAATAAGATACATTAAGATCATTCACTTTTTACAATTATACCCTCTAAACCATTGTGAACCTAATTTTTTATTAATATAGTAATTAAATAATTAAATTTTTAGTCTCAATAAATGACAACCGTTGGATGTTCAAATCAACGACCAAGATCGATTAACAAAGTTCACGATAATCTTGGTTAGTATTTGAACCAGCCCCTATATATATATATATATATATATATATAGTAAAATAGAGGAGGTTTATTTTGCAAACCATCTATTTCATATAAACTAATTTTTAAACAAAATTATTCTACATTTTTTAAAATATGGTGAATTTTTTCAAAAAAATTAATAAATACCTCAATTAAATCTTTGCTGATATTGTGCTAATCAATATATCATCCACATTTATATAAATATTATATTGTTACCAAACTTATCTATTAATATTAAATAATCATCAAACATAACTATAGTAAATTCAAATGATCATAATACTCTTATAAATTAAAAAATAACAAATGGATTTAAGTGATTAGTTGTAATTAGTTTATAAAGTTTGTATAAATTGGGATGATTTGTATTTGATCTCTACTCTAGTAAATATATATATATATATATATATATTATATATATATACACCA